CTATCTATCTATCTATCTATCTATCTATCTATCTATCTATCTATCTACTTTGTACAAGAAACTTGTCCAGATGACATGATTTAAACTTTTTTGTATGTAATAAAAAAATGCACGTTTTAGAAATACTACTAAATCAGGTCTCTCTTGTAAATGAGTCCTCGAGGCTCAATGGGATTACCTGTCTAAATAAAGGTTGAATGAAAATTTCAGTACTGCAAAATACTGCCGCACAAGGTCAAATCCAATCATTTAATAATGAGTAAAATACACATGTATTGATCTAGTAATAGTTAAATAATTGCTAAGGTGAGTACTGTCAGCCATGAAAATTATCCCTAACCCAAGATAGTTTATTAAAAGTTAAGTTTGATACTGAAATAGACAATATAGCATTAATAATTAATGCTATACTGCACTCCCCAATCACTGGTTAGAGAGGTGGGCCTGTGATCCGAAGATCGCCGGTTCACCCCCGGCCCGGACAACATCAAAACTGTGGGTTGTGTAGGTGAAGCCATGGGTGAAGCACCCACACTTGCTCCCACCCTCATTCGCCCCACTCTGGGCCCATGAGCAAAGCCCTTAACCCCACATCTGCTCCCTAAACAGGACTCTCTTGAAAATGAGTTCTCGTGGCTCAATGAGACTACCTGGATTAAATACAGGGTAAATAAAAAAAATAAAAAAAAGTTATAACACAATAAATATTTTCACGATTTGTGAAGCCTGCTCATTTTTTTTTAACAAAATCACGCAAACATGTAAACTTCAAAAATTATGCGTGGAATTTTCTTCAGAAGAAATACTCAAAATTTGAACAATTTTTCTAATGAAAGCAAGGGAAAAACAAACAGTCACTGGACTACAATATCCAGAATTCCACAATGACGGCAAGTCGAAGGGCTCACGTTGGCCGACGTTGTTGCTTCTCCGGTCTATGGCACGCGGCTAGCTGTGTGTAGTGCAGGTGTTTTGCATAAGGGAGTTTCTTTCTGCTTTAGCGCCAACGGTGTGACCGAAGCTACCTGAAGTCATGACTGACCAGGTGGCTGCCACGTGCGATCAGCTGATCAAAGCAGTGGTTATGATAATGGACGCAGAAACAATCCAAAATTTACGAACGGAGGCCTTAAAGGTAGCTACGTTTCCTGTTTTGCTAGTTAGCTTAAAGTTAGCATGTCATTATATCGCTGCTTTATAGTGATGGAAGCATTATCTGCTATGTAGCTACATAGATTATCACTATTATTCCGTAATATCTTCGTTAAAGCAGTTTAGAAATATTTATTTAATGTTCGGTTATAAAAAAAAAAACTCCCGAGTAGTACGTTAGCTCATTCATTAACCGCTACCTGATGCCTTGACACGTGAAACGCACATTAGGTTAACAACGAGCGTTATTAGTTTAACACTTTAACGTTTAGTGTATTAGGCTGCCTGCAAAATAACACGTTTTAATCTTCTGAACAGTTTTGTGAAGAGTTTAAAGAGACGAGCATCCTCTGTGTCCCATGTGGCCTACAATTAGCTGACAAAACCCAGCCAGCTGTGGTGAGACACTTTGGTTTGCAAATACTGGAGCATGTCATCAAGTGAGTGGAGCACATGTGACCTAAAAATAAAACTTAAAACCAACAAAAGCTGCATATTTTTCATATGTCTAAATATGTATTGCAGATTCAGATGGAACAACATGCAACAAGAAGAGAAAGTCCAGTTAAAGGATTGTGCCATGCAGCTACTATCAAATGTAGGTGTGAGAGTAAAAGAGTGGTAACACAAAGGCTGTGCATTGAGCTTGTTTTTGATTTCTGTCCCTTTCACTGGGTCTTCACAGGGTACTCGTCCTATCCTGGAGGAAGAGAGTCATGTCAAAGATGCCCTGTCTCGAATCACAGTGGAAATGATCAAGAGAGAATGGCCTCAAAATTGGCCAGATATGCTTAAAGAGATGGAAGCTCTCTCCAGCCAGGGGGTGAGTAGCGTGTACGGTGCCGGAAGTGTTGCTTTTTTCCTAAACTTGTGTGGATTCAATTTGAATAGGGTTACGTAATGGCTAGCAAGCAAATGTATTCCTGTGGAGGATTTCTAAATTTTCATATGATCTCATCATACAAATTTGGCCAAAGTACAACAGATGTCCTCATGTCTGATTTAGTTTTCAGTGTCATTCAGGTTTTCTTGACTTTTTTTCAAGCAAAACCCCCAAGAAATTTGACTTCCTTTATTTTTGGACTGCCTTTTTGAAACATTTGTGCTATAGTAAAATAAAACTTGTTTGCTGTAGGAGGCACAGACAGAACTTGTCATGATGATCCTTTTGAGGCTGGCAGAAGATGTTATCACCTTCCAGACGTTGCCCACCCAGCGACGCCGAGACATTCAGCAGACGCTCACCCAAAACATGGATAGTATCTTCAGTTTTATAATGGCCATTCTGCAAATTCATGTTGAGGACTATTGCAAAGTGGTCAGTGGGAGCTTTACACCTTTATTTCAATTTATTCAAGTTCATTTCCCTTCCAACTAAGGACTTATTTCTTGTTTTTTGTTTGTTTGCCACCAGAAACAAATACCTGGACATGAACTTCAGGTGAAAAAAACAATTCATCCCTGCTGTAAAGTAAACGTAGTTACCGGTACATTAATTGTTCTGGTCTTACTGTTGTTGACCTTTTGTCTCCAAATACAGGCAAGAGCTCACTGTCGAGTTGCTGTCGCTACACTTAATACTCTGGCAGGCTACATAGATTGGGTTTCTTTGTTGCACATCACCTCTGGAAACTGTAAGCTGCTGGAGATGTTGTGTCTTCTGCTGAGTGAACCGGATTTGCAGCTAGAAGCTTCAGAGTGTCTGCTCATTGCTTTGAGTCGCAAGGTGAGTTGTAACTAGACATCACATGATGTCTAGTGTCACAAATTAGTGTTTCGGACCAGCAGTTCTATTTATTAGGCCTGTTCTAGCACCTTTTTTCTTATGCTGGTTGTGTGAAGGGAAGTCTTTTTGCTCTCTCTCTCTCTTAAGTTAAGTAACTTTACAGGTCTAACCCATCAAAAGTCTGATTTAGAAAATCTTAAGCCATCAATTTGTCAGTGGTAATGTTTTTCCCCTTATGTGTTCATACCATTAAAAGTTGAAATCATACTAATAATCACAGTAAATTGCGTTAAACACAACAGTTCATAAGAAGTCGTGTCTAACTTTATGTTGCTTCAGGGAAAACTGGAGGAGAGGAAGCCGTTCATGCTGCTGTTTGATGATGTGGCAATTAACTTCATCCTCTCTGCAGCCCAGTGAGTGCCTCCAGTATTACTTTGCGTTAATGTCACAACAGTTATTTAAGAGTTTCCGTCTTTTTACAGATCAGCAGATTGTCTCGCAATATCTCCAAGTTCCCTAGAATCACAGTAAGTTGTGCCAGGTTTCATTGTGATTTGTAAGAGATGTTTGTTTATCATGTTTACTAGCCTCATCTGGCTTGTCTTCGTTATTTTAAACACTTTCAGGGGAGTGGAGGTGGTGGAACGGCGGTACATTTTTCTGAAGAGGCTCTGTCAGGTTTTGTGTGCCCTGGGATTCCAGCTCTGCTCATTAGTGGTGAGTTTATTATCCCCATGTGTTCGTGTCATCTTTGACCCCTCGGACATGTGAAATTGGAGACATTGTTGCTGTTTAGGCTCTCTTTATGACTGAATGGTGGAAAATCTCTCCATAGGGTTCAAATGTGAAAGCTGAAACTCCTGCAAATCTCTGCAAGTACATAGATGCCTTATTTGCCTTCACTATGCATTCCAGTGTGGTGAGATACTTCTAACTCTTTGTACTGGACTTGTCATTTCTCATTTAAACTTTCATCGTACATTTTCTGAATAACATTGAGTAGTATATGTTGTGCATGAATTAATTTTCTTCTCTTTTCTTCAGTTTTTAAAATCCTGCACTGTTCCAATCTGGACAACTTTGTTCAAACATGAGACTCTGTCAAAAGTCACAGTCGTCGTAGAAATGGCCATGAAATACCTCAAAGCTTCAATGAGCTTTCTTATTAGGGTGAGACACTGGTTATATCAGTAATTATTTGTGGAGTGAATGGGGAAAACAAACTTCTAGTTTTATTTATCTTTTCAGTCTGGCTTCCCTTCTCGAAATGACAGCCCAAGCTGTGGGTACTCTCGAATGGACTTTGACAATGATCAAGACTTCAACTTGTTCTTTACATGTACGTGTTACTGACTCAGATTACCATCTTTCAGGATAAATGCTGCTGATGTAATGGTGTTTTATTTTTTTCTATTTAAAGCTTATCGATCGCAGCAGGGGGATGTTGTGAGGTGTATAAGTCGCATCCTTCCACTAGAGGCTTTCCGGACAGCAGCAGACGTTCTTCGGTTTCAGATTGCCAGTCCAATTGATCCTGGAGACGCCACATGCAAGTGTTAAATCTCATTCTTGACAGTTTTAGAAACGTGTGCTCATCCACACTAAAAAAAAAAAAAAAGTCACTTTGATTTGATTTATTGTGACTTCAAAAATGTTAAAGACAATAACACAGAGTCAAAATGGATTTTTTTTTTACTTAACATTAATTTTCTTTGCATCACATTAACTTTGCTTCTCATTTTGCATTTGTCCAGCTAAGACTGCAGAGGGCATGTGTTCTCTGCTGTCTCCATCAGTCATTCAGTGGGACGCAGCAACAGTCTTTATGGAGGCTGTCATGTCTCAGATCATTAAAAATCTGGAGGAGGAGGTGATGAAATACCAGAAGCAAAGCACAATATTAAAACAAATGAATGGTGGGATTTATATAAACATGTCTTCTCTTGCCTCATGCTGTGTAGAAGCTGCCGATTGATGAGAGTATGGCGCTGCTGCAGGTCATACTGAACTACGAAACCAGAGATCCGCTCATCCTGTACTGCGTGCTCAGCAACCTCTTTGCCCTCTTCCCATTTGTCGTGCACAGACCACAGTTCGTGCCACAAGTCCTCTCCAAGGTTGGATCAAACTCAATAATTAATACAGTAGTCCCTCGTTTATCGCGGGGGATCCGTACTCTGAAGACCTGCGATAAGTAAAAAAACGCCAATTAGGAATAGTAGTACAAGTAGTAAGTAGTAGTTTATTTTAGCATTTATATAGATGCATATATTAAGGCATTTTAAACACTTCCCACACTCTTGTAATATTGTAAACAATGTTTCTAAACTCTAAATGCTCTAAAAGAGCACAGAATGTCATGATTTCAGCTCCCTGCCTCCTCTGCTCTTTGCTACCTGCAAGCGCTCTTGGCCATGCCCACTTCTCCGTTGCACGGTGAACAGCTGATCAGCTGCAGTTTATCCTGCAGTGTGGGCTGCACAAAAGTGCAGCAGGTGCTAAATAATTTATTTTAAGTAAAAAATTCATGTCGATCGTGTGGCTCCTCCATCAGTCAGACAATTGTGTGTCATGTCCATTCTTATTTTGAAAAACCGCGATAGAGCGAGTCCGCGATAAACGAACCGCAAAGTAACAAGGGACTACTGTACAAGCATTTCTTATAAAGCATATCGTTTTTTAAAAATGTCAATGTTTTGACATTGTTTTGTAAATCTAATTGTTTTGTGTTTGTGGCAAAAATTTAAAATGCTCTACAAACCGAGTTCTTTGACTGACTGCTGTTGTTTTTGCTCCACAGCTGACTAAAGTTATTACATTTGAAACTACAGTGAAAGAGAGGGTAAGTTTTTTTTCCTTTTCGAGTTGAATATTGTGACTTTTCTTCATACCTTGTCCAAAATTAAAGAAAAATAATGTTTGTTTTCAGGCATCTTGGACTCGAGCTGTGAAGAATGTGAGGAGACATGCCTGCTCTTCAATCATAAGAATTTGCAAAGACTACCCACAGCAGCTCTTGGTAAAAGCCTTTTTATCCTCATTTAATTAAATTGTAATTGGATATTGGGAACATGACAGACACACAATCAACCATTCTTATCCAGCAAAGTCCATGCTCAATAATCCAGGTATACAATCCAACTATTTTCAGTTGGGTCATCTGGACAGTTGCTTTTTTTTATGATGAAACATTTCACCTTCCATCCAGAAGGCTTCATCAGTCAAGGAAACACACAACACAAAACTGATTCTTCCCCCAACAGCTTACTCGAAAGTGGAAACCAGTTATGTTGGTGCTAAGATGGTCTCTTTGGCACGCCCCTCCTCCGGTGCCGGCCCTCTTCCTTGTCGTCAGTCATGTCCAACATGTTTATTGTTTTACGGAGGTCTGGGATCTCAATGATCGTTTCTGGGAGGTCCATTCTTATTATTCCGGACAGTTCCTTTAAACTCTATATCGATGTTGGTAAGTCCCCACGTGACTTTTATGAGAAGGATAGCTCCTGGCTACCTGCCTGATCCAAGAGCCCTTTCGTGGCTCCTATAATTTCCCCAGGTGAATTTATTTACATCCTCATTTTACAAAACCCCCTCCATGGTCTGTATGTAGAAAAAGGCCTTCATCAACTTTTTTCCTAAGCCAGCCCCTTTCTGACCACGTTTTTGGGATATCAGATCTCCTCGTACCTCTCTTCTAATAAGGACAGCCCCCGGGTGCCGATTGTAGTCCCTTCGTGACTCCCAGTGAGATCCCAGACCTCTGAACTCTCAAAAGAGAGATGATAGTCCCGAACTATCTGCCTAAACGGAGCCCCCGGCTCACCAAAACATTGTCGAGGTCCCAGACCTCCCAGAAACGATCACTGAGATCCCATACCTCCCTAAAACAATAAACATGTTGAGTCAAACAATGCTAGGCTCCCAGATCCTCCAAAAATAATAATAATAAACATAATCTTCTAGGGGTGCATCGATAAATCGGCCGGCCAATTTATCGGCTCTGATTTCCTTAATTTTGGGAGATCGGAGATCAGCCGATACACGAGAAACCGATTTTACCGATTTTTTTTTTCTTTCTTCTAATTTTAACAACAATTGTCTAAACTTCATTTATATTTCAGAGCACCACCTCATGGCCAGTTAAAACAAGTTTGTATTGTTCAAGGGTATGTTTTTCAATAAATTAAGATTGGAAAGTTGAAGGTGTATTGTGACCTTACAACACCTGACAGTGTTGCTTATAAAACAAAATCGGAATCGGCAGGTCAGACTTTTTAGAAATCTGTGATCGGCCAGAAAACTGCACCCCTATAATCTTCTTACCTCCTTCGTGCGGCTGCACTCTCTGTTCGACACCCATCACCCCCCCACACACACACACACACACACACAGCTCTGGCCTCCCTAAACTTTGCAATTCGTACTGGAGGACTTTTAGTTCAGGAGATTTATTCTCCCCCATGCACGGTTTCAGATCCAAGCCTGGAGGTTCGAGTAGATGTTGGGGCCGGCACTCGAAGGACCAAAACTGTTGGATAAAATAAATGTCCTTTCATCATCTACTTACTGAAAATAAGCCACACTGAGGACACAAGAAGATTTTATCCGGTTTACTACTTGCAGGGGCAGCGTTCACACACAGGCTCACACAGATGTTGCATTGAAGCTCCTGTCGTGAGGTCTGCCACGGACGGTACAAAGAAGTGCCTTTTCTAATGCTTAGACACTGATGACCTCGGTCTGTCAGCTTACAGACTCTGAGAAGGCCTTGGAGTTTATCGGGTGTGCAGGCTCTGCACTTGCAGGCTCCTCTCTGAGCAGAAAACACTCTCTAACTCACACACATTAATTTAACATCAGTTACTGATAAACATCCATGACCTTTACCTAAATTCCCTTGACAGCATATTGAGTGACTTGTGAATTGTTTTGTTCTTTCTTCCACAGCCTTTCTTCGACTTGCTCTACAACGATGTAAAAATGCTGTTTTCAGGCAACATTGTGCTGACTTACCTGGAGAAATGTTCAATGATCGAAGCTCTGGTGCTCCTCTGCAACCAGTTTAAAGACTTTGAGAAGCAAAAGGCGTTTATAGACAAACTGGTGGCTCCAATGATCACAGAGTGGACCTCAGAGGAGATGAAGAGGTGTGTGACAGTATATTTTTTTTTCTTCTCATTAGATTGTATGCGTTGTGTTTAAACATTATGACGGATGGCCTTGTCTTTTGCTGGTTTTTCAGTGTGATTTGGCACCCTGTCAAGTTTCTGTCCTTTGTTGGAGCCGATCAAGTGGTCACTGAGAAAAGTGACACGGATGCAGCCAGCCTGAACAGATGGCGAGTAAGTCCATCCTAAAAATGTGTAGACGGTGATTTGAGACCGCCGCAGTAGGTTAGTGGTGGCGGTCTTGCTTGCATCAGGAAGGGCATTTGGTGTAAAACAACCATTTCATGCAAGTTCATTCGCTGTGACGACTCTTAATGAAGGGAGCGGCTGAAAGAAGTTTATTTCGATCTGATTTGAACTGTGATGATTTGGTTTTTTTTATTGTTTTGACTCATGAACAGTGTTAAGCTAATGACAGCTAAAAGTTATTTTGTTGTAGCTTTGTTGAAAATAAGGCCTCGATCGTCAGAATGCAAAAAGCACGATGTTTTATTTTTTATGGTTTTATTTCCAAATACATTAGGCTTTTGTTTCCACTGACAGTGATCACTGCAGTCCTAATTCACTTTTTAGTTTTATGATTCGGTATTCACGCTGCAGCTGAAAAAACAAGCTACCTCCTATATTTCCAATTTCCCAGCAAACGGTGTGGAACTTGGTGCAGTTTGTACATCCCAGCTGTGGATTTAACCCCCACTGCATGCTCTGTGCGTACGGCTTCCATGTGTGAAGGACGTCATCCTTTTATTTTAAATAGCTTTATTGTGGCTGTTGGCAAGTAATAAAAATGTAAACCTGCTCGTTGGGATGAAAAAAGATGATTTGATTGGTTGAGATTAAGGTAGCTGTTTTGTATTTATGTTCATCTAAGATGTCTAAACAGAGATGGTTCATGAGAATACTAAAGCCATACTAAATATTATTATTATTAAATCAATAGATTTTATCTTCAGTTACTCGGTGTCTAAAGTTGTTTAGTGCATCAGGAACGAAAACTTGCAAGAAAAACTAAATTTACTCCCTGAATTTAAAATAAATGCTTTTACAGTTTTTCATCTTTGTTTTTTAAGCTTCTTTTTAATAAACAGCTTTTTTATTATGTCAGTCTGTTAAAGGTTTGTATTAGAACGATAAGATAACTCTTTTTTTTTTCCTCTGCTAGTTGAGCTTCTGCCTGTTCGCCATGCTGGCGGTGGTGAGGCGTTCACGCTGGCCTGCAGATCTAGAAGAAGCCAAAGCTGGGGGCTTTGTGGTGGGTTACACCCCTGCTGGAGCCCCCATCCACAGAAACCCCTGCACCGCACAGTTCCTGGCCTTTTTTCCCAACCTACTGGCTCTAGCAAGGTACGTCTCCTCACTACTTTTATTTTAACGTCACTGCAGTGGATTTGTAATAAAACAATCCAAGTTGTGGAAACGGTCTGAAATTAATTCATCGTTTTTGTTTTTCTTTACCCTCTGGAAGCTGAAAATGTATTTTTTTTTCTATGATTACCAACTTTCCTATTTATTTTAATAATGTACAGAAGTAAAATGTCGAAACCTGACTGGTTTCAAAGATGCTCTCGAACATTATTGCTATGACTGGTCCCAATAAGTCCTGTTCATTTCTGCACTGCAGGACTCAAAACTCTTTGTTCACACCAGAAAACTTGGCTCGTCTCAGTGAGACTTTCACCAGAGCCTTCGATGTGATGGAAGGAGAAAAGAACATGATTCTCAGTAAGAAGAGCTTTTTGCATTTGCTTTATTTCCCCTCTATAGTGAGCAGTCATTAATATATTACAGTTCAACTATCTCATCGTTTTTTTTTTTTTAAATTTTCCAGGTCTTTTTAAGCATCCTCTGGATATTTACGGCACTCCTGTGCAAAAAAGCAGTCTTGAACACATGCAGGGATTTTTCAGCTCATTATACGAAAGCTGGTGTTTATTTTTATTTTATTTTCTGCAATATTGCCCGTTTTTCACTTCATTTCTATACTTTATCAGTCTTAATTTCGCCTCCCTCTTTGCTCTTTTTACTCCTGCAGCTTCCACAACCTGGGCGCTGCAGCCGCAGCCCTGCAGCAGGACTTCTACGCTATTGACAAGTTGTGTGAAGGAATAACGGGGTCTGTTTTTTCCTCCCTCGATCACTTAACTGACCACAGACTTCGCCCCATGCTTCATATCCATTTTACTGTGTTTTGTAATCATTAGCTTTTTCTATTTTCCTGTCTCAATGTTTGCAAAGTGCGTATTTTGTTTATGCAGTCTTTTTCTCAGACTCCTTCAGGCTTGTGCTATTTAAAATAAAAATATTTTTTTTCTGTAAAGTGGTTTGCCTTAACAAGTGTGCACGACTGTTTGTGAAGCCGATTGTGATCTCCTGTCCTCCAGAGTTCTATGAAAGCCTACTGTGCCCTCTGTTGGGTCCTCTGTTCTCCTACATGTTGCAGGTCAGTTCCAGTCTCTCTTTATTTTGGATTTGCTCAGCCACATTGGTCAGGGTTCCCACCCAGCAACTCAAAATGACTTTCAGTCATACAAATTCAGGGAATTTGAAGAACAACATTTTCAAAAATCTTGGAAAATCCAGGGACTTTGAACACTGAACTGCTGATTAAAAGATGATCTTGAAGTGTCTAGTATCACTGAGTCCATGTTCTGCTTTCAGTGAAAATGTATCTGTACTGACTGGCTCTTGTGGCTTTTTAGGTTTTTATGTTGTACAATATAATTAATTATGAGGATTTTTTTCCGTATGCACGTACTGTATGGTTAAACTATATTTATATATGTGAACCTAAGACACTACATTCTGAGTGTTTTGTGTGACTGAAATCGCTCCTGGAATTTCAGGATTTACTCCAGAATTTTGTTTTCATGAAATGTTGGGAACCTTGTTAGTTTATCTTTTGTTCTTCTGCTTTATATTACAGAGACTTAACTCCAGGTGGCAAGTGATCAGCCAGAGAACATCTATAAAGTAAGCTGCTTGTAAAGTATTTGTATCTCATTTGTTTAATTTATATGAAAACTGAATATTTAAGGTCAAATACCAGAAAATCTAAATGCTGCACACAGTCTTTAACAAATCTCAGTAATTAGATGATTCTTTATTTATGAATGAAGTTTGTGGCGTTACTGATGACCTTGTTTTTTAATTTCTTATTTTATTTTCCATAGTGAAGATGAGGAGGAGCAGGAGCTCTGTCAGGACAGTCAGGTGACACAGGAGATGTTGGAAGAGGAGATTTTACGTCTTCTCACCAGGGAGGTTTTGGATCTTCTCGGTAAGCAGCTCCTTTCAATCATTTTTATTCAGTTCATTTACAGCATTCAGATGAGAGACAGTTTTTTAATAAAGCAGTCCTTAATTTCCACCCCCCACACACGCACACAATTAGAAAAGACATGGATTCGCATCACGTGTATGTTGATACATCCGTTGATTACGCTCTTGTTTGACTTGGGGACATTAAGATTTATAAAGTGTTGTCCTTAAAGAAAACTGGCGGGAAACACTTCACATCTTCACTTTGTGACCGGACAAGTTTCATCTAGTTCTTTTGAATTGGTCAGTTAACCTTGGTGTCCTAGATTTTACAACTATAGGCGTCTCACACCTCATGCAATGATAAAATGTGCATTTGTGTTTAAGATCAGATCCTTGGAGAAGTATGCCACAAAGAAGGTGTTTCCATATTGTGAAGCGATACTAGAAAGAACGATTATTTTATTTTAAGGAGACATTTTCAACGGCTGTTTCTTTTTTGGGGGCCAGCTGTGGCTGAGTGGTTGGAGCAGTCGTCCTCCAATGCAAGAGTTGGGGGTTCGAATCCACCAGCAGTCATATGCCGAAGTGTCCCTGGGCAAGACACTGAACCCCTCATTGCCTCTGATGTGTGTCTCATCAGTGTATGAATGTGATAAAGCTCTGATTAGTCTCTAACATGATTTGTTTGATTAGCTGTGATAAGATGTAGTAGAGTGCTGTATGAATGTGTGTTTGGAGTAGGCCTGTCACGATAACAAATTTTGCTGGGCGATTGTCTCAGAAATCATTGCGATAAACGATAATTAGTAATTATTGTCAAATTTAAGAAGAAATGTTGGTTAATTTTTGTGTGTAGTACCTTTTTTGACCACTGGATGGCAGTATAAGACAGTTTGAACCGAAGGATGGATAGTGAGGGAGAGAGCAGTGCTCTAAAAAAAAAAATAGGAGGGAGGTCCCTTGATGTGACATGAACCGTCTCTCTTTCCTTTTTTCGGTTCTCAAAATGGTGGACGCTCGGTGTAGTTTGAGCCCTTTAGCATAGCATTTTCATACAAAGCTTTTAATAAAAATAAATTTTAAAAATCACAAAACAAGTTCTCAGCTTCTTTTTGCAGAAAAAAACAACTTTTTACACCAAGGCACGGATTTCAACTGTGAATTTTGGAGATTCAACAAGACAGTTTTTTTCCTGAAGTCGGCCTGTTAGCTTAGTTCTTAGCTTAGCTTTGTTATCTTCGTTAGCTTAGCTGCTTTTAATGATCCAAAAACACAATTTTAGACTGTTAAAATAGACTTTAAAGAGAAAGGGAGGGGTCAGTGAAGAGCACCGGAGTTGAGACTTTTGTCATCCAGTGTCTTCAGTAGAACGAGAGACATGAAGAAATGATAAAGCTGATAAACGAAGGTTAATAATTTTCATTAATCATGCGATTAATTGATTTATTGTTTATCGCGACAGGCCTAGTTTGGAGGTAAATGAAGGCACAGATTGTGTTGTAAAGTGCTTTGAATATGTTAATTAGAAAGAAATATGCTATACAAGTCCATTTACCTTTTTTTTTGACAGTGGATTAGGTGCAGCCTAGAGTTAATCTTCTTCTCTTTTAGTTATCAGTTGTATTTCCAAAAAAGTGCCTGAACCTGCAGCAAATAAAGAGGAAATTGATGGTAAGAGTATAATCAAACTTTACTTTTTTCTGTCTCTCTCATGTCTAAAATGAAGTTTTATTTTATACATATATTTTTAATGTCTTTTTGCAGAAGAAGAGATGATGATGATGGATTCAGCACAGTTGGGGTCTTCTCCGCAGCACACAGAGGAGCTGACTGAGTTTGGAAAATGTCTGATCAAAGATGAGGTCAGTCTGAGACGCAGCCTTTGAAGAACAACATTTTAAAAGCTGTGTTTAAACCAAATTTTTCCTCTTCCTCCTCTCTCAGAACACCTACATGTCTCTATTGACGCTTGCTTTCACCTCACTGTCATGGAAGGATGCCACTAATTGTCATCGCACTGCTTCCATAGCCTGCTGGACGCTTCTGCGTCAGGTAACACACACAGTACATGTTTATATCTTCCATGTTGGTTCCCTTTCAACTAAAGTGGGATTATTTTTAAATTTGAGACGCATCAAAACCTCAAAAAGAGCAAAACTCAGAGCTTTGACACGTAACCTGTTCTTTCCAGATCTAAAATGCCACAAAATCATTTGTCTCCTCTGAAGAAGCAAATTTTAAAATGTGGAACTCCCAAGTGATATTATTTATTTTTATGTTCAGCCTAAATTTTGCTCCTCACCTGTAGATTTTATCAGCAACCCATGTAGATAAACAGTGAAGTATGTGGGTTGATTTTATTAGTGATTTCAGTCATTTTAAATAAATTCTGCTAATGGAATAATTAGGGTGGATTAGGGTTTTCAGAGTTTAATCCGTGTGCTTAAAGTAATATTTTCCTCATGTAAAGTAATTTTAGTATTTTGACTATTTTTGATACGTTTTCATCCTAAATGTACTTTTTGCTTTACTAAATAAGTTGTTTGTCTACTGTTTCTTGAAAAATGACTGAAAACTGCACTGAATTTCTACGTTCATGCTCTCTTTAGGTTGTAGATGGAAACCTTCTTCCTGACGCGGTCACATGGTTTTATACCAGCGTTCTCAAAGGACTTTATATTCACGGTCAGCATGACATCTGCAATGCCACCCTCTCTAATCTGGCCTTGCTCATCTATGAAAACCTGGTGAGGAAAATTACAACAAAAAAATCTCCTTTTGTGTGTATTTGTTTCTTCTTTTAATCATACTTCTGCGTGTGCAACAAAAAATAGATAATGTCAAAGTCTCCTCTGTCATGTCTGTCAGGAGGTTTCAACAAGAGAAAAATCAGAAAGTTGTGCATTAGATCAGATTACATAAACAAAGATGAAATCAGTAAGATTTTTAAAAAGATTTAACTCCAATTACTATAATAATTGTAATCATTTTAAGATTCAATTTGTCATCTAGCGCTGGTTTTCAGAGGATTTATAAATTGTTCTAATGGTATTCCAAATCAGGAGTTTTCTGTTGATCTTGTGTAAGTGCTGAATTTGCATCCGTCTGCGTTTAGCGGCCTCGCTACTTGGAGCTGAGGACGGTGATGACCCAGATCCCAAACATCCATGTTGACTCTCTGGACCTGTTCGACCAAAGGCTCCTAGATCCCAGGGGCATTAAGTTTGGAGATAAGAAAAAGAAGGACCAGTTCAAGAAGCTCATTGCAGGAATTGTTGGGGTAATGCCTCATTTAACCACTAGAGAGCAGTGCTGTACTTGTATTTAATTTATCTCTCCCCCGCCCCGCACCCTTACAGTGTGATTCTGTCTGTGCTGTAAATCTCAGCAGCAGAAAATGTGCCTCAGCCCGACAGAGCTGAACAGTCTAGAGAAAATCTCAGCTGTATCTTTGAATAACCTCTCTTCTCCCTGTCCTCCCACCACTAACAGAAAGCTCTGGGCCAGCAGTTCAGGAAGGAGGTTCACATCCGCAACCTTCCATCGCTCTTTAAAAGGCCGAAGCCAGACAAGGATGTAGCGGAGACTGAATCGCTGGGCCTCGCCGCGCTCTTCGCCCCTGAGAATGATGCCATGTAGGAACAAGTGGACTTTGTACGGACTGCAAACGGACTTGTGCTTACAAACTCCAAATTCAGCGCGACGCCCATCGAATCTCTCGAACCTTATTTTTCAGTAGTTTCTTCAAACTGACAAACCACAAATCTGTTCACCAGCCCCACGTCCGGAGCAGTTCAACACTCTGTATACTTTGTGAATCACCTTGTGTACTCCGCTCCCTTCTGTATACAATGTAAGAACTGGAAAAAGTCTCTGCTATCAGGCTGTTGTAGGAAAAGAACATGCAAAACAAAAGTATTCGTTTACTCAAACGTGGTTTCTTTGTTGTATGAATGGGCTACAACTACACACACACACACACACACACACACACACACACACACACACACACA